TTAGGGCGGTCTACGGTGGCGGAGAAATCGACTATCTCGCTGATCTCAGGCACCACATCGCGGTCGCGTGCCAGAATCTCTCGATGGCGCTCGTCCAGAAGGCTGTGGCGGAGTGTCATGATAGTATTTAATATGCTCTTCAATATGGTCCGATCAGAATTTAATAAAGTGTAACTTATAGCGCCTCGAAAGTCAATGAAGAAAAGTGACTTTTTTTGGGCCCCTCTGTAGTTTCGCTTTGTTCTCCGAGAGCTTCCCATAAACATGTCACTTAATGAGTTGGCCGAGCCAATACAAGAATATCGTACTGTACATGTCTGTTAATGAATTGGCTCAACCAGCAGGAGAAAATAATACACCGAAATTTCGGCTTTATTCGGTTTTTTGCTGGCTAAGAGAATCAAAGTCGTTGCAAGTCTATCAATAGGAAAATAATACACGTCGTTAGCCATTAGACGGATTTCGGATTTGAAACCTTTTCCGCTAAGGTCATGAACGGCGAATAAGCAACACCAATGTTTGTTACCCTGAAGGCTAAAACATTATGACACATGGTTAGGTGGTCTCTTTTCCCTGAAAAAATGCTCGCTGGCTCTTATAAGAGACTTGCACTTTTAAACAAGATATAACGAAACATGACTCAAGAAAATGTTCAACGTGCTCTCCTTTGACAAGAATGCAAAGCTCGACTCTTCCCTCAAGTGACATCTTTTTCTTGGAGTTATGAGCTGCTTGATCAGATTTTATTTGCATGACCACGTTGTATAAATGTGAATGTAGCACGCCTTCGCTTGCAATGCAGACAGTCTCTTTGAGGTGTATACGCGCAAACATGCAGATCTTTTACATAATAAAGCAAAAGAAAGAACAGAATGCCGCTTTGTCACAGAAAAATGTCATGCGTCCTGGTAGTAAGTCAATACTCTGCCTTTATAGAAATATCAGTTGAAATCTTGGAGAGTTTACCTAATTCACGGAACTTTCAGGAAAAACTAAGAAGAAGCAACTCAAAATTTGGGTGAAATTGTCGAAGTCGTGAATATCCAATGAGCTCTTTCTAATGTGTTAAGTAAATAATAACTTTTATATTGAATGAAACAAACTGTAAAGCATAATGTAATGCTATCAAGAATGTTATCACAAGAATGCTGAGTTGTGGGCAAAAGTCGTGCCCCAGGCGGGAGTCGAACCCGCACCTCACGCTTTCCGGGCGAGTGCGCTATCCGTTACGCCACCAGGGCCGCTTTTACCCTCTCAGCTTAACGGCTTATGCCGTAACCTTACAGCACTCACACGTTTAACTTGGTGCCGAACTCGCAAATATCTAGTGAGCTCTTTCTAATGTGTTGAAGTAAATAATGAACTTTTATATTGAATGAAACAAACTGTAAAACATAATGTAAT